GGGGGTGGTGGCGGCGGCGGTGGCCTGTTCGATGCTTCCACCCATGCCGTCACGCAGACGACCACAGAGTCCACAACTACTGGCACTACAACAACTTCCTTTGCTGCTGCTGTAGGTGCCAACACCGATGCAACGGCGGCTCGTAACACAAATCAGACCTATGGACTGTTACAGCACTGCACGCTCATCAAGGAGTTACATGCGATCCAGTCAATTACCCTCTCTTCCTCGGGTCGCAAACTGCTTGTCACCGTTCATAAGCGCGTAAGTTTGCTCTTTTACTCTGATGAAACTTACTTTACTGTTTTGCCATACTTTTTTGTTTTGTCAAAACTGGTGTCTGGGGTTGTAACTCATTATATATGCACTTGCACCTGTTTCGCCTACCACCAGTGATAATTTACTCTGTTCCAAGGCCATGGCATAAGTCGGGAATGGTTATGGATATTCATGTGAGCATGATATATACAAGGTCTTTTCTCCCATCCTTCCTATGGACGAGCCCCACACCGTTGGGCGACAGCCCAGCCGAAACCTCTAATTGGAGAGTGATCAATGCTCCCCACGTCTTAATAATATATCCCCTTCTGACTTCAGATAATTGGTTTGCCAGATCGTCGCCTAAAGGTGTTGCAGCAAGTCTTCGATGAACACTGCTTCCTTATCCGTCATCTGTAAATGCCAAGTAACATCCGACCCATTAATTATCCATGCTCTGGCCTGCCTTCGAGGCTAGATAGGAATTTGAAAACTCGTCTCAGATTTGAGGAAACTTAAACATACATTTTTTCCGGCCTTAAATACTGCCACTTCTGATTTCACCATCGTCACTACTACCTCTACTGCCGCCAGTACCATTATCGTCGGTCACGGGCCCTGTAGTAACCAAAAATGGGGAGTTTTACATTTTAAGCCTCTTTATTTTATCATAAATTAACACATGCACGTAGCGTAAATTCGGACTATAAAGCCATTAGAAACCTTAGTATAGAGCACACAGCCTTCGGCGAACCATGGAGAAACTCCCTAATGAGCTAAGGTTGTACTCGGTAAAGCGGTGACCTCGATTATGTCGCTATTTGCACGCATGCATTCGGGGAGGTCTACGACAGCGGATCTGGAGAGGTCGACCCGTTGTCACCTCCATCGACCAAATACTGGCCCACAAGCACGTCGCGGAAGAGCAGTTGGCTATTTGATCCAGTTTCCATTGTGAATTGGATATTCTGATCAAGCGAGTTTAGTAAGTCGTTAGGGTGCTGAATGTCAGATGTTTGACAATGTCGAAAATGCTATTGACCTAACCAACCTAGCACCTTGGTTGATTCTTAACAAAGACCGGTCTTTCTCCACCAGAAGACCACTGTAGGAACCGGGCCTGATGACATAGAACCCTTAGGAGTGCATTCAGTTTTCTCCTACATTTTTCCGCCAGAGGTGAAATAGGTTTTATGACCATGTCGTAGAAGGTCGAGCAGGCTTGAGATGCTTGTCTCGTAGCATTCGGCAAGAAGTTGTCTCACAAAGTCAGTTGTTAGTATCTCGACTGTCAAACCCGCCGGAGTAGGCAATACTTCGTCCTCAACTGATGCGGCAAAAAAAAGGCATTACATCCATATAAATCTTAGCACTCACTATCAAATATTTTGGAACGATAAAGACTGCAACTGCGTTGGGCAAACCAAAAGAAAATAGCACGCCCACCTACAGTAGCACAAATAGGCGATTCGAAGGCTTGACCTAAACTTGCAGTTCGTACTTCACATTGAACAAACTATCCCCACTTTTGGTCTTCAACGAGCCGCTCTCTTGGGCCGGGGCACCGGAGTGACAGAATGACTCGCTCTTAAGGTATGATATCCAGATGCCAATCATATAGGCATATAGACCTTCCTTTGATAAAAAATGCTGTGTGATTACGTACATGAAGGCCTAGGCAAAACGGTCATATTGAACTTCGCAAACAGTCAGTACTCCTCGACGAATTCATGCGAAGGGGAAGCAGGGATTCAACCAACGTCAATCGAGATGATAAATTGCAATGCAAACGACCGTAGACTCCGCCAAATATCTGTCAAAAAACGGAGGCAGCAAAAGAAGAAAAAAATGCTTAGATAAAGACTGTCCAGCTCGACCAGTCGTTTTATATTCTGGTCGATTTTCTGCGTTAAACGCTTTGACAGCCGGCTAAACTCCCGAAACGCGAGCACTCTGTTCGAGTGAGCTAATTTTCCTTCTTTATTTGTCACCGAGAACTCTCAAACGTGTAAACATTAGCACGTTCATTTTTACGCGGTTATTCCACTGAAGCAGATAGATTCAAGCTTTGATTTTAATATCAACTCGTGCCGAGCCTGTGGAGGTTTGTCCAGAAAGGTTGACTTCATTTTCAAGCATTACTTTCTGAGAAAATCAGACCACGTAACTAGCTAATCTTTTGAATAAATGGGAAGTAAAAGTCATTGCCTACCCTAGGATGCATTGAACTGCTCCTTATGTCTTTGGTTACATGTCTTTGTGGTTACATGCTCTGCTCTATTTTTTTTACTACAAGTTGAGAGTTTTGAGTCGAACCGTGTTTTACCATCCATGTGTGACTGAATCTTCGGCAGCACCATCCAATCTAGTCTCTAGTTGTTTTAATTTTACTCCATAACAAGGCATTGTCGGGGATGCGGTTTGGTGCAGTTGTGTGCGTCAAATGTTTTTTTGTGTTTATCGGATTGAAGCATGATACATTTAAGTACACCAAAACTGTTACCTGTTGCCCCGGCGTGAAGCGATGCACGCTGACTGGTGCTGTCATTGTTCCGTTTGGGACATGCACTTTGTCTGGCCTTTTGAATTACTCATAGAAACTATTATGTGCTTTAAGAAAATTTGCAGACAACTTGGGAATTCGCATTTGTTGCTGTCGCGTTACTAATATGCTGCTATTCACGTTACTCTTACTTTATGTCATACTACTCGGATCGGCTCTGTGCTGCCCGACTGCGGAAGCTTATATAATATGAATAACCTAGCCGGTAGTTGTTCTTTTTTATTATTTCACTAGGGCCTCCACCTCTGGGATTTGGAGTCACTTGGGATGCTGCAGCAGTTTGCTGGATTCAAACAGGACCTCTACAAACTCACTTCCACCATAGGTGGAATAAATGAGGATTTTGTCGCCAGTGGAAGCGAAGGTACGTCTGAGCTCTTTCTCTCTCTGATGACGTCCTCCTTTTGTTGCCTGTTTTTTTAACTGACGATAGGACTCTCAAGAAGCAATCTTATGACATCACATATTCTTCGTTCCCACGGCTATAGAGCAAGCGCGCGATTTACTGATGAGTCACCTTGAATTGCTTGCAGTCCCCTAGCTGATTATGCTAGCAGTCTTACTAGATCACCTACTGAGGT